CTCATGCCATGGGAGAGCAGACTTTGACCCTCTAAGAAGTTCTGTGGAGTGTCAAAACCTTTGGCGGTGTTGAAGACTTAGAAGAAAGACCCTAAATTGCCAAGCAGAGAGAGCCTAAGCAGCAGCAGCATTTCTGCCTAAGACCCCAGTTATACTCCATGTGGAGTAGTAAATACAGGACTGCTCGGTCCCCCACAATGGGATTGAGAAGACCACATCCAAGAACCTGGTTTGTAGAAAAGAACTAAAAGGAAGAGCAGGGAGGAAGCGAAGACAGTGATCTAACATATCCCAAATTCTGAAAGACATTGATAAATCTGTTCTTATGCCAGTGCCATGGCCGTTTGTTACTTTGCCCTGCTACATCTATTCCCAGAGAAGAGAGATGTATGTGGTTTTGCACTCAGGCTTTTAAGTAAAGTTTCAAAAGAGAAGCACAATTCATTGAAAAGGGAAATGGTATCTTACATAAGTGGTTAGTCTTTCTTTTGGAAACTTGCTCTCAGGGAATGTGATTTCAGAGCCCAGAAGTCTAGCAGATGTTATTACTATTTCTGTTTTACAGGTCAATGCTTTGGTTTTTTATCCTCTGAGAAACACACACAGCTGCTAGCCTGTCTTTTGCATTATAAGAACAAGTCAATTCTGTGTCTTATGTTTAGCTTATACATGTGCTTTTTTTTTTTTTTCCTGGTAAAATACTGAGACTGGCACATCTTGAAAATTCAAGTTCTCTAGTAACTGAAGGTTTTGTTGGCGGACTGTGTTGTCTTTTTATTCCCATGAAAAGCAACAGTGGATCATTTTTCAAGGAATTTTGTTCCTGATGTCCAGGCCTGTGGCATTAAACAGAACAAATAATCCCACCACTCAGACTTACCTGCAATAAGAGGAAAAAATTCATTATTGTAACGTCATTTTTAATGCCTCTGTTGATAATAAGGTTCATGATGATGCTGTAGTAGCTATATTTTGTGCATTGTTGGTTTCAGACACTTACATGGAAAACGGTTACCAACTCACTGAACAAATTTTCTAAGTAACTACTTCCTTTCCATTTTATCTGTGTTGTTGCTGATTAGTTATTGTATCCGAGAAACTTGTCTTTAGTTTCCCTCAGCATCTAATAGCCAGACTAACAAAAAGGCAGTACTTCTGTCCCTCTGCTCAAATGAATAATTCATTGCCCCGCACTTTTTGTGCAAAGTAAATTTGAACTGTTTCTTTTGTACGGTTTCTTTGCAAGAGAGTCGAGGACACAGGGAAATTCATTTACTGCCTTCAGGCACGTCATTATCTTTTTACTGAGAGGGAAGTAACACTTTATTTCTGTGAAATTTTGGTTAAAGGGTTTGCTGTATCTAGCATTAGGGGGATCGGTATCCTTTAACTGGGGAAGCCGGAGTTTGGCAGGTTTTCAGTGCTGTTCTGCTGCTATTCTCCCCCAGCTCAGAGGAACAATGGGCTGGAGGGATGCTGGCAGTGTTGCTTGGTTACAATTCATCAGCGTGAATCAATGCTTCACGCAGCTCCTTCTGCCTCTGAACAACCGGGAGACTTCTCGGTGCTGTATTACTGATGTATGCGCAGATGTGACCGGATTACGGACTATCTCAATTACTGTAAAACTATACCTTCGCTGTGAGATTTGCACAGCAGCGTTTGACTCCCAGTGGTTGAAGTCAGGCAATTTCAAACTGTCTGTTTTTACAAATACAGAGCTGAGCAAAGCAAATTTTTAACAACGTATTTCGTTGCAAGATGTGTTTGACGAGTTTGGCACTTTAGCATCCTTCCGTATTCGTCAGGAAGATTAAATCCTTCATGAAGAATCTTCCCCTGCAATAGACACGTGCCTCGCTGAAACCTGCCCGCAGGCAAAGTGAAGCTTGCTAGAGGAACTGCCGCCTTTCTCATACTCAGTGCATTTGGCCAGATCTTGAGCTGGCATAAAATGAAGCTGGTGGAGTTATGCCAGTTTAGACAGTAGGAGGATGTGACAGATTATTTTTAACACCGTGGAATGGCTTTTCTCTACCCCACCCAGATCCATTTTACTACTTGCCCATTCTTGCTGTTCAAGACATTACCAGAAGAAATGTTAAGAGGGAAGAAAGGTGCCCAGTTTGGGCTCTCCCTTGAATTTCCCTTCAAGCAGCTTTCTTCTTGTCTACATCCTTTTGCTCGCTCTTATATAAAACTGATTTATCACTTTGCAGTTCTCACTGTTTTATTGCCTGCTATCACTCTGCTCCATGCACCACTCACACCCTCTCTTCTACCCAGTAGAAGTTTAAAACTTCCCATGAGTCTTCACAGCATTTTGGTTATGCTTGAAAACACCTAAAAAAAATGAATGGCTGTATGATAATTGGCAACTTTGCCAAGAGTGTGAATGACAAATCACTGACTGAGCTATTTGCTCATCTGTGGCCAGGAGATCACTGAATTCTGGCACCTACCTGAAGCACTGTCTTCGTCACTGAGTATCTCCTGTGGCTCTCTGCTCACGTGACAGTCCTGGTAAATGTCCTTCAGTCTGTCTACAGAAAAATCCAGAAGTGCTTTTCTCATTTTCCTCCTCCCCTTTCACATCTGAAATTCGTGTCCCTGAAAGGCTTTCTCTTTCCTTTTTCTTTTTCAGACTCAGCAGTTCTCCATTTCTTCTCAAACCTTCATGCTCATATCTTTAAATTTCTCTTTGCCTCTTTGCATTCTCTTTGCATTTGCCATACCTTTCCCTTTGCCAAGCTTTCTCTGTTTTCTGTTTCCTGCTATTTAGTGTCACCTTGCTGTGTTGCTGAACATTAAGGCCATTTGGAAGAATTTGTAGGAAAAAATGCACTGAAGTGACATCCACTCTATTTGGTTTGCAAAAGAAGAACCTATAGTAAAAGATTAATCTAGCACTGTCTAAAATACAAATATTTCTATGAGAAGGTTCTTTGCATCATTTTGCCTTCTGGTGATGGTATCTTTAGGATGGCCTTTCCTGAAGAAAATTGTCTCAGAATACATGCACTACTTAAAATAAATTTGCACTGCACAGAGCTATGTTTTCTGACTTGCACTCAGCTTTTATTTAGCAGCAGGTGAGTATATACTTAACTTCTTAAATTTTCTCTTTGCTTCCTCCAAATATTGCTTGGTTATCTATGAAGATTTTTTTTTATTGTGACTCTCTTTAAAACCTGGATTAATTCCCCGGGTTATGATGTCCGTAACCGTTTAAGTACTTTTGGGATAGGACTTAAAACTGAGGTCTTCTGATTTCTCTACAAAGATGAGAGAAGGGAAATGAATAAAAGAATGATAATTTTCCTGTCAGCATGATGGGCTTTGGCTCTTGTTCAGAACGGTACTTGAAATACTGTAATACTCATTGGCTTTTGGGCAGTTATAATTGCTGCAGGGATAGACTGATTCCCTGGGTAAATACGGAGGTTTGTGGGGAAGGGAGAGATTTGAAGCATAGCTAAGAGACCATTGCCTGACCCACAGCCTGTGTTGAACACAGTTTTATTGGGCCACTGAATGTGGCTGTTCGTAAAAACAAGTGGAGAGCCTTTTTGGGGATGCACCATACACACCAGCAGCAAACCTTAGGTGTGCCATGGCACAGCTGAGATAGTCTGGTGTTTCTACGAAGACACTTGTGTACATTTCCATGCTGTTAAAACATTGCTTTGCTTTTAACAGATAAAAAGCTGTTGTGAGTAGTGGAGTAATTCCCTTTTAAAGTCATAGCTGGACTTCTCTAGAAATGACAGGCCAGCCTTTCTGTGCCCAAGACCCCTCTTTAAAAGAGCTTCTGCCCCTGAGGTGGCTGGGTGGTAGGTATCACCACTTGAAATCTCTCGTACACAGAATGTGCCTGCCCTACAAAGATGATGCTGGAGCTACTGCCCCGGCTGGACCATGAGTCCTCAGAGGTGCTCCTGTCTGGGACTGGCAGAGACCGCCTGAGCAAGGAGGGAGCTGCTCAGGTGTGAGAACGTGCCCCCATGCGATGGAGAAGCATCTGGCCACAGTGAAAGGACTTGTTTCTGCACCAACACCCCTCGTCTGCTTGCGGGAGCCATGCTGTGCAGGGTGTGCGCAGCATCCCTTCTTGATATTGTTGCCAAAAGGACGGATGTTCCTTGAGTCACTAAAGAGCAAACAGGCAGTTTTTCCACATAATCTGGTCTGTGTGAGACATTTATATTACGCTGCATCCGAGGAGTCATTGTTTCCTTTCACCGTGTAGGATAATTAGGGCCAGTGTACCCCATGCGAGGGACCCAGAGGTGCTTTAGCTCTTCAGGTCTAATTCAGCTCTTACTTTTCATCTTTTAGAAAATGCATACCAAGGCGGTCGAAACTAAATAGGGTAATTAATACAATGGCATGGCAGTAACTTAAAATATTTAAAAGGTCAGAAAATGTGGAGTTCTTGTGTCATCTTTAATGTTCCTGATTTGCTTCTCTTCAGGTTTTCGGTGTTATTAATTTCGCTTTAGAATATGCTTTGTGGCATACGTCTGGGATAATCTTAATGTCTTGATTTCTATGAGTTTAATATTCTGCCATGGCATTTGTTAGTGCTGTGACTGTGTGGGGTGGATGGTTTCTTCTGCTTTATCTAATGACCAAATTTGAAAAACAGAGATCTTATTTCAAGGTTAAAAAACTTTCTATTTTCGTTGGCATGAAGAATAGAAAATTCACTCTCTGTTTTTGCACTTGTACTTCCCATTTTCACAACAGGTGCCTTTTTGCCGTAAAGATGGCTCAGCTGCTGTCCCTCTGTCCTGGGGGGTGCGACGCAGTGGCCTTTGCAAAACCAGGAGTAACTTTCGACATGTCCCTGCCTTTCCAGGCAGGACCCAGCTAAGCTTCCTGAGCAACATCAGCCTCCGCTAAGAATTCAGGTCAGGATCTCCCTGCTGGTTTCCTAGCAACTGGGGGATACTGGTGCTTTCTGCTCCGTCCGACTCCTTCGGCGTTAGATACGGGGATCACTTGGTGAAGGGATCGGGGCAGTGCTAATAACTCACGCTCTGGGAAGGCAGTGCTGGGTAACTGATGAGACATAGGGTGCACTGTCCAAGCCCAACCAAATTGAGACTGTCCAGAACCGTCCGTGCAAACTTGAAGGTGCCTCTGCTGTTTTTTGGTACCGCTTAAATGTCTGGCGAGGTGACAGATCCCTTTTGAAACACCGGTAGCGTTTTGTGTTACTTTGAACCTGGCAAACAGGAGCGTACGCAGGTAAGCAGCCGAAGAAGGTTTGTGTCTGAGGTGCTTTAAAGGTTGTTTTCCTACAGGTGTAATGCGTTTCTTGGTTACACAGATGCACAACATTCAGTTGTGGGAGCATTGACCTGCCTTTGTAGTTACTAAAGTTTCGTCGGATGGTAAGTAAAAAAGTTAAGTGGAAAGATGAACTGTCTTCCCTTGTTCTTTGTGATGTCTGTTTATAAAGTGCTGAAAACAACCTTTAAACTTCTCTGGTTAATTTATTGTAGAATTGCCTAATGAAAAATCCTTTAAGTGAGCAAGACTTATCGGTTGCCATGCTCTCGCTGCAACTGGCTCCTTGTAGCACATTTACAAAATGGAAAGCAGCAAGTCCCTCTAACTATGTGTTGTTTGCAAAGGCCAGCAATCATTGCCTCTGTTCGGTAACACAATGGGATTTGTTACTGTGTTTTGTTTTCCCTTGATAGATTACAAGTAGAAACCCTTTGACAAATGTAAAAATTAAAGCAACGTGCTGTTCTAAAAAGAAAAAAAAAGAGGAAAAAAGAATTGTCTTCCTTGTGCTGTAGCCTCTCTTCTCTACTCACAGATAGCAGAGATAGTAGGATTTAAACCAGAGTATATTTTTATCTAGTGCTGGCACAGGGTTGACATGGTAGTTTTCTGAAGGACTATTCCTCACAGAAAATACAGTTTTCATATTTTGAAAAACTTGGAAATGAATGTCTCCAGGTGCGTACAAGCTATTTAACCTGCCTTTTCCCAAAGTCTATAAATGGTATTTTCCAGCTCTTCAGTGATACGTTTTGGCACAGCTCCAATTAACTTCAGCAGAAGCCTGCCAAGTGACATCAGCCAAAGATCTGGCCGCACATCTCTAGGACGAGTACACTGTCAGCATGTTCGTAGTTTTTTTGCACAGGAGTGTTATAGTGGTGCAATTTGAATAGGGACATTAAAAACTGTATTGTTTTTTAAGCTGTATATTTTAATTAGCACTAATATGAAGCTGTTTAATTTGACTGCTGACTCTAAGGCATTCAGGAGCTGGTTTCTTCAGAGAGACTGAGTGCAGCTTCAATTGATATTTTCCACACTTGGTATTCAGAAAAACAATTCCCAGAGTCTCAAATTGCATACCTGATACAGCGGCTGCTTTTCAAAGTGTGCATGTCTAATTTGATATCCCAGGCTTTTTGTCTGTATCATACATATGGGAGAGCTCATACATCCATTCCTAGGAACCACAGTGTATGTGTCCACTTAAGAAGAGAGGAAAAAATCCATACCAGGGCAGGATCTTCGTGCAGTTCAGGATGTTCTTACAATGATGTTATTACAAAAGGCTTTCCCAAGCGTGTAACTCCACACTACTGTGTGTTTAGGTGATGTAGGACAGAGAAGGAGAAATATCTGTTTGAGGAGGTGCTTCACATTTCATTTAATTGTTCCGGTCTCAAGGTCAACAACTTTCAGGAGACAGTTAACAGCAGAAACCTCTTTAGTCACTGTGATCTAGCTGTTTTAGTAAAGCAGCACCCTCAGATAGCATGGGACCTGAGAGATTAAGTCATCCAGCGCTCCCTGATCTTTCTTCTGTTCACAAAGCCTTGTGGTGTCCTCTTAGTAACACTCTTCTGCTAGAACTGGGAGCTCTTGCTAGACACCTCATTCCTCTGCCCATTGCCATGACTCACAAATATTTTTTAAAATGTCTGAAAAAAATGTTAAAAGGAAGGAGGCCCCTCGGCAAAGAGGGTCAGATTTTCCTCAAGCTTGAGCTAGTACATTTGCCAACTGCATGTAAAAGGCTAAATATTTTCCTGTTACACCTACACCAGAGGCACTCACTCTGCGGATACACAGATGGCTGGGCCCTTGCGAGTCCAGCCAAGGGAGCGTACGCCGAGGCTTCAGGGTTTGAAAAGAAGCTGGAATGGGTTCTGCAGTCTGGTATTGGCAGAGAGCATCGGTGATCTGGGTGGCTGAACACAGCAAAGAGCCAAGTCTGAGGAGGTTATTGGAACATAGGCCTTACACAGAATTGTTTCTTGATAGCAAACGCCTCAGATGTGTCCTTGGACTCTGCAGTAGAGAGCCAGCTAGAGGTGGAAGGTAAATGCTTTCCCCTCTGCCTGTCTGCCAACCTATGCAAGTCTGGCTGGGAGCTGGGGAGCTTAAATCCAAGAGTGACCTTTGTGTCGTCTAGCTATAGAAGCCACCTGGGATCCAGTGGCCGGTTCTGGGCATCTGGCTGCCAGAATAAGTGAGCTCAGAGTAGCACAGGTGCAGAGAAAGGTTAGTTAAAGAGCCAGGAGAACAGAGAGCTTCTCTCTCAGAGGAAATTTAGGTTCTGTGGCTTGTTTGGCTTCGCAGATAAAGGCTGAAGGGGGACACAGCCATCTTTTCTAAATACCCCTGGCAGGAGAGAAAAGCTGCCTCAAGGAAAGGATCAGATTGGCACAAAAATAAACAAGTATAGACTGGCCGTTTAGTCTGGGAATCTCTAACCATCGAAGTTCTGGAATAGCATTTCAGCCAAAGGGCTGTTGAAAATTGAATAATTGTCAAAATAAGACTGGAGTGTTTGCCGGCAGCAACAGGGGACTGAATGCTCAGGAAGTCCCCCCAGTAGTATGTTCCCAAGTTTTATCTTGAAACACTTGTATGAAAGCTCAAAGATTTGGTGTACACCAAAGCATGCCCTTCCTCAGGAGACCGCACTGTGTGAGAGAACTGAAAAAGGCCCAGCAATGCGTGGAGCCCCTGCTCTGGGAAGGGCTGATAGGTGGGATGCATCTGATAGTTTAGTGGTAAATCGTTTTGCTCACAAAGGCTCTTTAGCTCTGTGTTTTCAATAGTCCTATCACTATGTAAGACACTGGATGGGTGCTGAGCATCTGTTCTGTTACTTTGGTCCTGCCCAAGGGATCAGAAAAAGCCAAGAAGCACCAGGACTCTTCAAAGGTGCCATGAGACTGGCCATTTTGGACATGAATTAGGATTTGTTGCTGTAACTAGCTCTGTATACACAGATTTTTTTACCTGCCTCCCTGGGAAAGCAAACAAAACAGCAGTTGGAGGTGGGGAGTTCCCTTGCCAGGCATGGTCAGGGCAGGGTGTGGGACAGCCCTGGAGGGCTGTGCCATGCCTGAGAGACTGGTTGCCCCTTAATGAAACCACTTCAGTGGTTTTACGCTGCACCACCTGACTTTGTTGGGATCACAGCAGACCCACAGGAGGTGGGAGGAAAGCCTACCACAAGCAGCTTTTGCTCACATAGTTTAGCTTTCCAAGCTCTAATTAGGAATGCCTCTCTGCCACCCTCTCTCCCAACAGTGTCCCTTTTGCTCTTCACGGGGAGGTCGTGTGCCTCTCTGCTCCTCTTCCTACTTCTGAAAGATCATACTCCTAGGTTAGATTTTTCTAGCATCTGAGTGCCAATGCCTTTTAATTTATGAATGCTGCAGTACATTTTGTTGTGCTTATTTAAATCAGGCAGAGCTCAAGTATTTTACAGTCACGTGTAAAGGTGATGGCAGATGAGAGCTCTTTATGTCACGCTGGATTTCTGCAGCTCACGCTCTATCTGCCAAATTGCAGGCAGAAAATTTTTGAATTAATGACAAATATTTCCCAACAGTAGTTAGTTAAGTGCCTGCACATGTTAAATTAACCATAATAATCTTGTCATAGTCATAAATTAATAACCTGCATCTCATCAGGCTTTGAGTATTGAAGTAAAACATTCATGGTGTATTCAGAGAAGGGAGCCTGGGGACAAATGGGATAAGTCCCAAAACGGGTATTTTCCTTTCTGCCCCTTTTAAACATCATTTTCAGGTTCCTTTGTAGCCTTTGGGGCTTACTTGGCACATGGGGTAGGACAGTGGGGTTGGGAATGCAAAGCACCTAACCATGAGCTGCTAAGTAATCCTGGCTTCCTTCTCTCCTCCGCAGAGAGGTGTCTCCTCTGAGTAAGGTGAATTAGACCTATTAATATCTGAATATCTTTTCTCCATTGCCTAGAGGGAGATACAGCCAGGAACAAACGTGCACATGAGAGCTTTCTGCCAGAGGGATCTTGGATCTTAAAACAGCGAGGGGTTTCACAAGGAAAGTGCTCAGAGGAGAACAGAGAGCATTTCTGCCCCAGTGGCAGAAGTGAGAAGAGACTAAGGACAAGTGATGGTGTGGGAAAGGGGGACATTTCTCTCAGTGCATTCCCCACCAGTGGTCTGTGAGACCCCTTCCAAGGGAAATCCAGGGAGTGGAATCCAGTTCCCCTTGCATTCTGCTTTCTACTACAGCGTGGGGAGCTGTGCCCTGGACCAGAGAGGGCACCTCAGTCTGTGCCATCGGCTCCAGCAGAGATGGACCAAGGACAGGCCTGGAGCTGAGCACTGCTTCTGCATGGCGGACTCACTCTGGTCCCTACTCTTGAGAGATGCTTCTTGAAAGACATAATGAAAAGCATTTACTCTCTCCATGCTGTTATATCCTTCTATAAAACGCAGGTGCCAACAATTCTTTTCCCCCTTTCGTGAGTCTTTTGAAGTTGTAGGCTGGCTGTCATCCCAACATTGTATATGTACCAACTCGTTCAGCATGAATTCATCGTAGTAGGCTTTGTAGTGGTATGAATGGAAACAACTGTACCCTTGTTAGTACAGTTACTGGAAGTGCCATGATGTTCTCCAGAAAGTCCCGCGTGACTTGAGGTCAGGGACAGGTCTGAATCTCAGGTCTTCCAGAGAGCCACAAAAGCTGGCAGCTCCCTCTTCCGCCCTCTTTTCTTCTCTCCACCTCCAAGTGAAGTGGCAGTGTCATGATAACACCAGCGTTGTTACCTCAACAGCAGGCCAGTAAGGCTCCCCCACTGCAGTATGCATCCCCTCCCATGCTCTCTCTACAGGACTTCACTTCTCAGTCCCTCCCTTCTCCTCCTGACTCTCTGCCATACCCTGGACTGTCCGTAACCTCTAACGGCCAGCGTAGAGGTTCATCAG